AGAGGCTCTGCCCCAGCACGGCATCACACAGGCCTGGGTGCTGAGGACAGAGCAGCAGTCACAGATAGTAGATCCCTGGCTAAAAGGATGCAGGGTGGTCTGGAGTCACTTAAGGAGAGTCTGGATATGGAGACACTGGAGAGAGAACTGGGAGGAGAGCAAGGAAAATCCTGGTGGTAACTTCCCCACTATACAGCAGCAGCCATCTTGCTCAGGCAGACTGCTCCCCTAGGTGGCAGCAGCATGAAAGAACCCAATAGCCCTAACCAAGGGAGGGACTCTGCCTTGCCATGACTGCTAATGGCAAAGTAACATGATTAAAAACCAGAGGTGACAGATACAGATAGCAGATTCCTTGAAATCCTTTAAAGACTGCATAAGGTCAGACACGGTCAACAGCTGACATTGTCAGAGGCAGATCTGGAAAGAAGAAAGAAAGGAAGAAAGAAAGAAAGAAAGAAAGGAAGGAAGGAAGAAAGAAAGGAAGGAAGGAAGGAAGGAAGGAAGGAAGGAAGGAAGGAAGGAAGGAAGGAAGGAAGGAAAATAAACTGGCCTCTCACCATAGAAGTTAACACCACAAAGTCAAGAAGTAAAGACAGATCAATTTAAGAAGCAGAAGCAAAAAAGAACAGTGTCACAAATAATAGGAAGGCAAAGAAACAGCCCCCAGTAGAAGGGAAAGGAAGAATCCAGAGAAAGAGAATGAAATGAAAGGGAGGTGAGTAAACTAACAGACATTGAGTTCAAAACAATGGTTCTAAGGAAGCTCAATGAGCTCAGTGTCCTCAGAGAGAATTACAAAAAAATTATATGGAAACTATGAAGAATTTATTGCAAACTATATCCACATGAAAAAAGACATAGAAACTATCAATAAGAGGTGAGAGAAAATGAAGAATACAATTTCTGAATTGAAGAGCAAAGTAGAAAGACTCAAAAGAAGGCTCAAGGAAGCAGAGGATATAATCAGTGAACATCAGGGCAAGGTAGAATAAAGTTTCCAGAAAGAAAAAGAAGATGAAAAAAGACTCAAAGATAATGAAGAGACATTGAGGGAAAAACAGAACAACCTGAAACATATTAATGTCCATAAAATAAGGATACCAGAATGAGAAGAGGAACAAGAGATAGAGATCCTGTTTGATAAAGAACTGATGGAAAACTTCCCTTATTGGAGGAGAGAAAAAGTTATGTAAGTTCTGAAAGCACCAGGGTCCCATTCAAAAGGAACCCAATGAGGCCTACTCCAAGACATATCATCATTAAATGGCATATATCAAACACCAACAGAGAATCCTAAAGGCAGCCAGGGAGAAACAGTAACATACAAGGGAGTCCCAAAACAGCTAGTAGCTGACTTCTCAACAGAAAAACTACTAGCCAGAAGGGAATGGCAAGAAATATTCTAAGTCATGAAAACCAAGGGCCTGCAGCCAAGAAAACACTACCAAGCAGGGCTCTCAATTTAAATGGAAGGCAAAGTAAGGAGTTTCCCAGACAAGAGAAGGATAAAAAAAATTCACTTCCAAAAACCAGCACTGTAAGATATGCCAAAGTAACTGCTTTAAGAAGATGAAGAAAAAGAGTGAAAAAGAGAGAAACACAAATACAAAATGAAAAAGTACCTATCAATAATAATTTTAAATATAAGTGGATTAAATGCTCCAATCAAAAGACAGGATAACTGAATGGATAAGAAAACATGACCCACACATATGCTACCTATAAGAGACCTACTTCAGAACAAAGGACCTACACAGACTGAAAGTAGATGGATGGAAAAAAAAACCCAAAAAAACATTTCAAGCAAATAAACAGGGGAAAAAAAAACCAGGGGTAGCAATACTTATATCAGAAAAATCAATTTCAAAAGAAAGTCCATAAAAAGAGATCTAGAAGGACACCTTATAATATTCAAAGGAAGAGTTCATCAATAAGACATAAACATTGTAAACATATATGCATGCAACATAGGAGCACCTCAATATATAAGGAAAATCTTGGAGGACTTGAGCAAGATATAGACAATAACACACTAATAGTAGGAGATTATAACAGCATACTGTCAAAAATGGATAGATCTTCTAATAAAAACACCAACAAGGATATTGTGGAACTCAACAATGCTTTAGATCAAATGGACCTAACTGACATATATAGGGCTTTTCATCCAAAAGAAGCAAAATACATATTTTTTCAAATGCACACAGAACATGTTTAAAGATAGACCATATGACAGGACACAAAACAAGCCTCAAAAAACTGAGGAAAGTCAAAATCATAACAAGCATTTTCTTGGACCAAATGGTTTCAAACTAGAAACCAACCTCATGGAAAAAACTCAAAAACATTAAAACTGATGGAGACTGAATAGCGCTGAATAACAATTAATGAGTTAATAATGAGATCAAAGAAGAAATCAGAAAGTTTCTGGAAACAATTGAAAATGGAAAAACAACTCTCCAAACTTATGGGACACAGCGGACAGTCCTGATGGGAAGTACATACCAATACAGGCCTACCTCAAAAAGATAAGAAGCATTTTAAATAATTGACCTATCCCCCCAGCTTCATGAAGTCATGAAACAACAACAAACAATGCCCAGAGTGAGAAAAATAAAGGAAATAATCAAGATCAGAGCATAATTGAATGACATAGACACTAAAGTACAATTCAAAGGATTAACATATCCAGGAGCTGCTTCTTTGAAAAGATAAACTAAATCGACAAGTTTTTAAACAGATTCATCAAGTGAAAAAGAGAAAGGACCCCAATAAATTATCTCAAAAATAAAAGAGGAGAAATAGCAACTGATACCACAGAAATACAAAAGTCTATAAGAAATTACTATGATCAATGATATGCCAAGCAATTTGAAGATCTCAATGAAATGAACAAATTTCAAGAAAAATATAACCCTCCAACACTGAATGAAGAAGAAGCATAAAGCCTGGACAGAGAAATAACAGTTGGTGAAATTGAAGCAGTAATTAAAACAAAAACAAAAACAAAAACCTCCCTGTACTATAAATCCCTGGGACAGACGGTTTCAAGGGAGAATTTTACAAAACACTTAAGGAAAAGCTAACTCTTGTTCTTCAAAGACTATTCCAAAAAATTCAAGAAGGGGGAAGACTCCCAAACTCTTTTTATTAGGCCAGGATCATCCTAATCCCAAAACCAGATAAAGAAAGAACAAGGAAAGAAAACCATAGATGGACATCACTGATGAACATAGAAACTAAAATCCTCAACAAAATATTGGCAAATCACATCCAGCCATATATTAAAAAGATCGTCCATCATGGTCAACTGGGATCTATCCCAGGGATACAAGGAAGTTTCAATATTTGAAATCAATAAACGTAATACATCGCATAAAGAATAGGAAAGACAAAAACCACATGATCATATCAATAGATGTGGAAAAAGCATTTGATAAGGTACAGCACCAATGTATGATAAAAACACTCAGCAGAGTAGGAACAAAGGGGGGATACCTCAACATAATAAAGGTCATATTTGAAAATCCTACAGCCAACCTCATACTCTATGGGCAAAAACTAAAAGCTTTCCCACTAAGATCAGGAACAAGACAGAGATGTCTACTTTCCTCACTTCTATTCAAGACAGTATTGGAAGTCTAGCCACAGCAATCAGTCAATAAATAGAAATAAAAGGCATTTAAATTGGAAAAAAGGAAGTAAAACTATCATTGTTTGCAGAAGATATGATAGTGTACATGCAAAACCTCTTATACTCAACCAAAAGAACTACTCAAACTAACAAGTGAATTTAGCAAAACTTCAGGATAAAAAGTCAATATTCAGAAATCAAAAGCATTTTTGTATACTAAAAATAAAATATCAGAATCAGAAATCAGGAAAAAAAAATCCCCTTTACTATAGCAACAAGAAATATAATGTACCTAGGAATAAACTTAACCAAGAAGGTAAAAACCTATACGCAGAAAATTATCCAACACTGAGGAAAGAAATCAAGGAGGACACAAATAAATGGAAGCATATAATGTGTTCATGGATCAAGTGAAAACATCATCAAAATTTCCATAGTACCCAAAGCAATTTATAGATTCAATGCAATCTCTATTAGAATACCTATAGCATATTTCACAGACATAGAACAAACACTTAAAAATTTATGTGGAACTATAAACAACCCTGAATAGCCACTGTAATTCTGAGAAAGAAAAACAAAGTAGGAGGGATCACAATAACTGACATCAAACTGTAATACAAGACCACTGTAATGAAAATAGTTTGGTACTAGCATAAGAACAGATACATAGATCAATGGAACAGAATAGAGAGCCCAGAAATAAACCCATGTTTCTATGGTCAACTAATATTTGACAAAGTGTGGGGAAGCATAAAATGGAATAAAAATAGCCTCTCCCACAAATGGTGCTGTGAAAGCTGGACAGCTACATGCAAAAAATTGAAATTTGACCACCAACTGACACCAAACATAAAAATAAACTCAAGATGGATAAAAGACTTAACTATAAGTCATGACACCATAAAAGTCCTAGAGGAGAATTTAGGCAGGAAACTCTCAGATATACCATGCAGCAATATTTTCACCGATATGTGCCCTTGAGCAAGGGACATAAAGGAAAGAATAAAGAGTTGGGACTCATCAAAATAATAAGCTTCTTCATGGCTAAAGAAAACAGCAAAATGAAAAGGGAGCCAACCATATGGGAAAATATAGTTGCCAATGATATCTCAGACAGGGGTATGATCTCCAAAATATATAAAGAACACACATGACTCCACTCCAGGAAGACAAACAATCCAATTAAGAAATGGGCAAAGGACCTGAACAGACATTTCTCTAAAGAAGAGATACAGGGGGCACAGAGACATATGAAAGAATGCTCATCATCACTAGCCATCAGAGAAATGCAAATTAAAACATAATAGAATACTACTTCACACCAGTCAGAATGGCTGTCAGAAATCAATCAACAGGGGGAAGGGGCGGCAGGAGCCATGTCTGGCCATGAAGGTGGCAAGAAGAAGCCCCTGAAGCAGCCCAAGAAGCAGGCCAAGGAGATGGACGAGGAAGACAAGGCATTCAAGCAGAAGCAAAAAGAGGAGCAGAAGAAACTTGAGGAGCTGAAAGCGAAGGCCGCGGGGAAGGGCCCCTTGGCCACAGGTGGAATGAAGAAATCTGGAAAAAAGTGAGCTGTCCTTATGCCTGGGGCAATGATGATCCTTCATTCCATTCCTGTGTTAACATCTGGATTCCCTGTCGTAACATCTCTTGCCACCTATAGCTAGAATGAAGTGTTGTCTTGGAGCCTATTGTACATTTAAGAATAAACTTTTGTAAAAAATAATAGTCATGCAGTGGCTCATCTCTTTAGTTCTCACTGCCATTTCAATCTTAGCTGTGAGGTCAGAGTAAACCCAGACCAGAATCCTGTCAAAGTGTGTCCTTCAGTCTTTGTTCGATCAAGAATTCTGTACCACCTGGAATTAAACCAGTTAGTTTGAAATGGCTGTCATTTTTCTGTGGTTGTATATCTAATAAAATACATCACATGAGGTTAGCAGGAAAAAAAAAAAGAAATCAATCAACAAACTATTGGTGTTGGTGAGGTTGTGGAGAAAAGGGGACCCTAGTACACTGTTGGCGGGAATGCAGACTGGTGCAGCCACTGTGAAAAACTGTGGGATTTCCTCAAAGAGCTAAAAACTGAACTGCCTTTGGTTCCAGCAATTCCACTGCTGGGATTATAACCTAAGAGTCCAAAAACACAAAATCAAAAGAACCTATGCACTCCAATGTTCATAGTAGCACAATTTACAATATTCAAGTGCTGGAAGCAACCTAAGTGCCCATCAGTAAATGAGTGGGTCAGAAAACTGTGGTACATTTACACAATGGAATACGATGCAGCAGAAAGGAAGAAAGAACTGCTTCTTTTTGCCATAGCATGGATGGAACTGGAGAGCATTATACTAAGTGAAATAAGCCAGGTGGTGAAAGACAAACACTATAAGATCTCACCTCTAAGTGGAACATAACCATCAAAACAAGCAGGTTAGGAAATTATGACTAGGAACATTGAAATAATGAGTAAACTGACAGGGACGTGAAGTGGGGAGGGAGGGAAGAAGGATGGAGGGGAAGAGGAAGGGTCAGATCCAGGAATAGGTGGGAAGGACATATGATGGAAGCCTATGTGGGTAAGGATTGAGACAGGGAGGTGGGAGTGTGAGGGGTAGGGAAAGTAGTGGCAGGTAAATGGAGACAAATGTATTGGAACAATAAAACAGTTAAAAAAATGAATCAGCCCATATTTTTTAAAGACCATATTTTACAGGTCATCTATGCTATTATTACTCTCACAAAATTAACAGTAATCCTTACTATCGTATACTACCCCTCTGTGTTCATGTTCCCTGATTGTCTCAAACATGTCCTTGTTTTTTTTTTAAGTCAAGAACCATGAAGGTCCTCTGTTACATTTTGTGTTGCTAGTTCTGAGATGTCTTCTGCCCCAGGAGAAGCCCCCTTTCTCCCTTTGTCAGGCCAGTGCTGTACCTGCTATGAACCACTGGGCTGCTCTCCCTCCACTGGTAAGCACTGTATGACTAATTGTTGAATGAATGAATGAATGAATGAACATATGGGTGAATGAGTACCAAGGAAGAAGCAGCAAAGAGAACAGGGTATCCTAATACTCCTGGAACATTGGAGTTTCTTCTGTTCTAGACTAGATCAATGATTTCTGTGTGTACACATGCATGCATGTGTGCACACACATAACAAAATATAATCTTACACAGAAACCTGAACAAAAAAAGAGAATGAATATTGAATGTTTAAGAATCTGAGCCCTGACCCCACACTGCCTGGATCAGAGTCCTGGTCTTGCTGCATGTAAGAAAGGTGACCTTGGACCTGTTACCTATCCTCTCTATGCCTCACTTCCCTTTTCTCTGGGAGCTGTTGTAAGGGTGTAATATGTGCAAAGTACAAAGTGCTTAGAACTGTGACCAGCATATTGTAAATTTTCAATAAATCTGGCTCTAATCATGATAATTAATATTATTAAAAAGGAGGGTAGGGGAACGTGACAAGGCCTGTGGATCGCCTTCCAGAGCTCCATGGAACACAATTTGATAATCTCTGGCCTAAATGGCACCCAAAGTCTTCTCCGTTTGCTCTCAGGTTATGTGAGGCTCATTGCAGCCACGAGACCCCTCCACACGCAATCCTGCAGTCTGTGGATAGGAGGTCACTAGGTTGGCAGGAACCTGAGGGCTTAGTCTGTTCTAATTAGGACAGAAAATATCTCCTCACCCTTTCCCAGTCCTGCTCATGTTATTCCCAGGGACCATCTTACAAACATGAATTCACCCAGTGCTAGCATAATGTTTGAGACCCAAACCCTGAAACCAATCTCCTTCAACATGACTGGCAAACCATATACATCTGCTTCAGAACAATGAAGAAATTGTGGTCTGAAAAAGGAACACATACTGTTGAAATAAGCCTCTGTGTGTCATTAAATATTCATGGTCATATTCATTGGATATCACAACAGACCCTGAAGGCAATGTTAGTGAGTGAATCTGAAGCCAGAGTAAAACCAGTCATCCAAATCCTGAGTCTTTTCAATGAGTGATGTGGCTATAACCAACATTTACAAAGCTCGAAACTTTGTACCAGGCACTGTGCTGAGCTAAAATTTGTTTTCCCTCATTTCATTTTCACATTTGACCTAGGAGGTAGGTCTAATTGTTCCCATTTTCCAGGTGAGGAAAATGAGGCTAAGTGAACTTAAGTCATTTGTTCAAGACTTTCACTGGGATGGACAGGATTTGAACCCATTTCTGTTCAGAGGTTTTGACCAAGCCACTAAGCTTCCTCTCCGTCAAGAAATACATCAGTTCACAGGATGTCTTATGCATCAGGCTTAGAATTATTGGTCAACTGTGACTAAAACCATTCTTTTTCTTCATATGAGAGGACATGACTGTGTCTCTTAAAATGTTTTTGTTCCAAAAATAAGTTCAATATACTGAGAAATAGCATTATAGGTCTCTTGGGGAGAAACCTATTCCTATTGAATGGTTAATGGGTTAATATCCAAAGATGTTTCCCTAGATACAAGTGTGAAATGTGTGTAATGTGTGCGTTGTGTACTTTGGCAGATTCAAGATAGATATTTTATTTTAAATTTCTTTTATCAGTACATAACAGTTTGTTGATTTGCTATCCTAAATCCATAGGTCTAATCCACCTCACCCCAGTTACGCTTTACTTTCCCATATTAACCTCTGTATCACTCTATGGTGTTCTTCCAATTTTAGGGTGCTCTAAAGAACAGTGCATATTAAAGACACATAGACATACTCATCCTTGCATGCTCTCAGCATGGAGCATCAGTGCAAGTTTACTCATCTTTCACTAATTGACTGATACTCTTTAATAGTCTATATTGAAATTTTGCTTGGGACAGTGGGACATAAAAATACATTTTTGCTTGACCTTGGCTCTCAAGAAAATAATGTGTGTATGTCTGGACAGGCAGTGAGAGAAGATCTCATTAGTCGCCACTAACCCCTGTGTCTGTTAACACAGGGCACATCTTTGAAGGAGAAGATGTAAACTTTTTGCCAGCAGACTTCCTATGGGATTTTAAAGTTATAAACAAATTGGTTTCAAGCTGGTCTTGGTAAAGAAAATGAAGCTATATAATGAGAAAGATAAAATTGCCTTCAGGCTGTGTGTGGCATGTTCAACTTAGAGGTGACTTGAGTGTTGTGTCTCACCTGAAAGTTTTAAAGGTTGGAGGACTTGCTCAGGTCATATCTCATAGTAACCTGGACTCCTCTGCTTTTCTTACACCCTACATCAATCTTGTCACTTCTACCTTTGTGAGGGAGGAAGATAAATATACACATCTCCACTGCAGCCGCCTGGGTTCAAACCACATCTCTACCTGGATTACTGCAACAGCTTCCTAACTAGTTTCCTTGTTCGCTTCCTCATTGAGTGTCTAGTTGGTGCACAATAGCCAGAGTAGTACTGTGAAAACATGTCAGATCATGTCACTGTTTTACTGGCTCCCATCTCACTCAGATTAAAAAAAAAAATGTCTTCACCTTGGCCATCAAGGCCTTTCAGGACTGACTCTGCTCTCTCACCTCCAATCCCTTCCACTGCTGTGCTTCTCTCACTCTTCTCCTGCCTCATGGCCTTCTCACTGTTCCTTGAAAACATTTGCAGTCAGGTTTCAAACTCAGGGCCTTTGCATACACCATTCCTTCTGTCAGAATGTTGTTTCCCTAGATAGTTATGTTACCAAATAGACTTGTTGAGGGGGCCAGATACTGTTACCAAAACAGTGGGCTCCTTCCCTGGGGTGTCTCTGTTGTAGGTTCTTTGCCCACTGCCCTTATAGATTATGGTTGTTGGTGGCCAAGTTTGGTGAGAAAGAAAGGTCCTATTTATTCAAAATTTATACAGATTTTGACGAATGGCTAAATGTTGCTGTCAAATCTCAAATCCCTTTAAAACACACACCAACACACACAATCCTGACTTTTTTTTTACTTTGGCCAATCAGGCCAATCAGGACAGTCAGGGGTACTCTCCAAACTGGGTAGGCAGGCCTCTTGCAGTTTGCAGTGCCATCAGCTATGTTGCTGTGATCTCCAGTTCTTAATCCAAACCCCTGTGGCACCTTCTCATGGCCCTCTAGCAAGAGTCCTTTCTTTCCTTTCCTTCCCACATGGTCTTTGCATTGTTCCCCTGTCATAGAGTAAACCATCTCTGAGCTCTAGGGCATATACCCTGTAACAGGAGGGGGGAGGAGCTCTTTCCCAGTTATGTCCCGCATTAAAGTTATGCAAACCTTCCTGGTTAGCTTTGTTGATATGCAAAATAACCATCTTTGCAGATGAGATGAGAAGCTACCCTGCTGTCACTGACATGCAAATTGACTCTCTGTATCTCCCATCCCCACAGCAGCCTGCCTTGTAGTGGGTGAGGTGGGAGAATATCATGTTTTTCTTGGACACTCCAGATTCTGGACCATTATAGATCTCCCCTTGGGGGAGCCATAACTGCACCCCATTACAGTTACACACCACTTCCTCTTGTATTGTATTTAAATGACCCTCTCATGGACCTCCTCCTGCTCAATCTAAATTTTTAAACATTTATTTATTTATTTTAGAGAGGTGAAGAGAAGAAAGAGAGGGAGAAAAATATCAATGTGTGGTTACCTCTTGCACACTGCCTACTGGGGACCTGGCATGTAACCCAGGAATGTGCCCTACACTGGGAATTGAATCGGCAACCCTTTGATTCAGAGGCCAG